CTAGCGTAAAATCGATTTTGTGCATTTCAGAAATGCGCTCTCTGTCAAGTGGAGTGCTCTAAGATGTAAAAGTATAAAGTATGAGAGTTAAAAGTAAGAATAGTGGAGATTTAGAACTCGAGGAAAATTCTTGTCGCGATATAAAAATTAAACAGTTTGACTAAAAAAGCTCTAGAGATAAGGAAGTAAACAATGAAAACTTATCTTCCATTTAATTTTGTCAACTTTCTTCCAACTTTCTTTATTGGAGTTTTAGCTGCTAATGTATCATTCGATATTGAATTTCTAATATAAATGGAAAGTTTTGTATTGCACATTTTTCTGTACACAAAACATTGCTCGCCCTTTGCGCCTTTGGCATAATTACATTTTTACATTTGCAAAAGACCATTACTTGTTCGCGCATAAAAAATGTATCGACAAGCCGCGTTCTCTGAAAGGCACAAAAGAATAAATTTCTTCTTCAACGGAAACTAATGGGCCTTCCGTTTCACGCGAAACGAAAGATTACGGATGTCAGGCGGAATGAGCGATCGCGCATCATGTTGGCGTAGACGCAGCCCGCTTCAGGGAAGATTCCTGGACGAGGCTTTCCGGTCGTGAGAGAGACACCACGGAGACCGATGGTGGCCGGCGCAGAACCGCGGCGATTGTCTAAGCGTATTCGGCGAGCGTACGCGCGAGTACACCGGGGACGACGCCGCTGTCCGCGGTGATTTACGAAGCTCGCGCCAACCTGTGCACGTTACATTTTCGTCCTCGCGCCAAGGAATACGTGCGCACGACGGCGATCGTATCCGAGAACACCTAGTTCGCGCGAACACCTCGTCTGCTATAATTCACATCGCTACTACTAGAAGCGCTGTTAAAATCTTCATCAGTGGCAGAGTGCCGGTGATGGTTTCCGGTTGTCGACTCTTTCGGTTACAGCCAGGATATTTCGCGCACGCCCAACAATTTCTACTGAGCGAACGAGTTGGGAAACGGGAATGCCAAACTCGGACAGAAATATGTTGGAAGTATTTACACTATCGCTCAAAAACTTAAAGTATTTTATAATATTTGGATGAAATTAGAATTATTATCGAAAACTTATTTAATCAATATTTATTTGTGAATGAAATATTTATTTTTAAATAGAATTTAAGATTAAAGCAACAAAACCCAAATATATGTTTATTAAAAAATAAAATTAATTTAACTTTTCTTCACAAAATAACAAGTAATTTCAGATTTGTTATCTATAATACCGAAACAGAAATATAAAAAACTTGATTTTCAAGAATGCCAAGATCGTATCAAATAGAAGAGAGAAGGATTCTTTTGCAAAAGAAAAATTTAATCAACTTTACTTGCTAACATTATAAATATATGTACTTTTTTATTGTTTTAGTTATAAACTTTACGTAAATAGAATATGTTTATGCAATATTTTTAATAATATAATTGTATTAATAAAAAAATTGATTTATATCATAAATTATATCAATGCTATTATTATTATAATTATTATATCTGTAAAATGCTCTAAACTTTTAAGCGGTATATAATGTAATAAAAGATATTATGTATTTTATTGCGTATAAAAGTTTGAAAGAAATTGAAATTTTTTAGAAAAAAGACTTATAAAAGAAATAATCGACAATTTCAATAAAATATATAAATGTGAACGAAGTAGATAAATTAAGAATTTTGTTAGAAACAATTAAAATCTCTAAAAATTATTGTTTCTATATTTTCACAAATATAATTTGTTTATAATATTATGTGAAAATTGAGAAAAAGCATTTATTCGTATTTGTCGATCTCATTTTAAAAGATGGACGCGAGTATCGTCGATTAAATTTTAATAAAATTTCGCTCGGAGTTCTAATTTTTTGCCCTTTGAGATCATCAAACGGTTGTCGGGGCACATCAAAATTCAATTAATCGATCAATCGACGTGTGTATGTGTGCCCGCGAACTCCCGCGCGACAGATAAAATAAACGCGGACGCGGCGAAGAGGAGACCGTGGAGAGCTCCCGGGTTAATTAGTCTGTCAATGCGACCTGCTCGTTTCATACGAATGCACACACACACACGTGCATGCAAAACATCAAAAAAAAAAAAAAAAAAAAAAAAAAAAAAAAACGCTTGATCCGACGGCAATCGCGACCGTTCCGGACGGCGCGATATATCGCGCCGCCTGCTACTGTCGTGCTACCGCGCGTATCGAGATCTGCATCTTGTTTGTTATTTCGCTACGTCACGGACATGCGTTCGCAGATATACACCCGACAGCGGGTGTCAAATCTGCGTGACATCAATTTACATTCTGCGCGAAATTTTTCCGAATTTTTCACTCGAAACGGAAAGTGCGGTTATCAGCGTATTACAAATCGCCGCGATTATCTATTTACGCCAATTACGTAAAACTTTTTTGTTGATCCAGTGTTATTTCCGACCGAATGATTCAGCGAATTTGCACGCAAGTTTTTCAACTTGCAGAAAATATCGACTTCCTTTTAGAAAGTTTCGTCTGCGTTCAACGTCGTGTCAAAATACTAATAACGCGCCTTCGCTTATTTAATTCATTAACCGTGAATTTTCGCAATTACTTCCACTGGCATTTACGGAACAAGATGTGACAGCGCATAATTAGCCGGGGCGGCGATATTATTATAGACATCGCATTTAGTTTAAAAACGTGTCCGTTTGAACAAAGAAACTGCACGAAGCCGGTTTCGCTTCTTTTATCTTAACCGTCCACACGTAGCACGCGCGCGCGCGTTGAATCGCATTTCGCTCACTTACTTTCGAACCGCGCGGATTCTTTTGCGGGATTATCTCACATTTATATCATAAAGATCTGAGATTCCGGATTGAGCGCGGCTCGGGGATACTCGCGTTTGAAAACCGCCACACCCGTTTGAATTTTTTCACTAAACGGATTTCACCGCGCCGTACTCGCCAATAAAACCGTGTAGCGGAAACTGCGATCCGTGTACCTTGCAACGAGGTATCTCGCAAACAAGATTCATACTTTCTGCGCGAATACAGCGTTTTCGTAGAGCTGCATTATTGCCATTACGGTAATTCCATTGAGAACTAATCAGGCAAAATGTGGCTTGCAGCGTTAGTGTGTTTACCGGATAGATAATGTTAATTCATTAGAGGTAGACTTTCTCAACGTACAGTAATATTATTTTGAGAAAAATTCAAGCAATTGTTATTGAATGAATAATTCGTATGTCTGCACTTTTAGAAGCACAAAATAAAGAACTTTTTAACGAAATACGTAACTTTGAACAAAATTAGAGATAATAATTTCTATGAAATTAAAAAATTATCATTTCCATATTTTCAGAAAATATAATTTTTACGCCGAGGGAGGAAATATATTTGATGCTGATAAAAAAATCTACGTTACGTAACTTTTCGCGGCATAAAATCAGATTAAAAGTTGAACTAGAAAATAGCGAGACAGCAAAGAAGACATGATCCTTATTAAACTGAAAAGTCACAAGAGTTTTCGATCAAAGCGCAGGATGCGTGTTAGAATCAAATAGAGACAACGTGATTACCGTCAACTCCCGTTCGCTGGATTTCATTAATACAGCATAGATTGTGCAAACAATTCTACTGTCCGCTGGACAGTAAAGCGCGTCATGAAGTAAAACCAATACAGCCCGTCAGCCGCCCGACATTCTCAGTTAATCGTATCGAGTCATTCTCCACGCTACGTTAAGTCAATACTCCTACGGCTCTACACCGCAGTAATTAACTGTCCTATAGTCTCATATGCTGATGCACACCTAAGATATGTTGGTCGTCTCTGTAACCAAGTAGTTGACACGTGATAACACAAACAAGCTCCGTAGCAAATTACGTCGCTCATAATCGCAAGAGAGTTTCCGATTATTTCGACATTTTGATATTGCAAGAAAAAGGAATAATACAATTAATCCTTTTTTCAGCCCGAATATATCACACTTTGAAAAAAATTAAATCTTATGGTTGTTAATTTATTTTACAAATATATATATATTGTTAACTAATAAGAGGCGGAATGCTATCGTTGATACATTGATTAATTAATTAATAGTATTTTTAATTAAAATAATATTAAATGTGTTTGAATATTCAATTTACAATTTAAACGTTTGATAATATTTGTATTGCAATTACAATTTATAATAATTAATTTTTGTAGCCATTTATTGGCCTTTTTGTAATTGGTTTGATTTTTATTTCAAAAGCCTCATCTGTTATTTTTATTTTTTATAGAAATTAAATCTTACGGTTTCTTGTAAGGAAATCATGTGCCTTATAAAAATATAATTCAATTAAAATCTAAGATTGAAAGGATAGAAGGACAATTAATTTATCTGGAATAATAACACTGGAATAAGAACAATATTAAAAAATATGTCGGTGGCTTTCAGATGACAATCAATTATCGTTGCTATTCCAATTAAGAGCGGCGAGGCCCTCGACTATCAGGTTGCGTAAGAAGAATCTGATTCGATTTCCGCCGATAACAAGAGAGGAAAATCAGTCTTCGAATGATATGTTGGGTAACGAAGTCCGCGAACTGAAAGCGGCTGACGAGCCGATTGGACATGATGGATAAATGCAAAATTCAGGAGGAAGCCGGAAATCACTGAAGGTTCATCGGGAGTTAACTCGTCGGAGCCCGGTGGGCTTTCACGTCATAAACGTGCAACGCGATGATTAAGACATGTGGGCGAACCCATTATCCAGCTGCGCTGTTTACGGAGAGAATCCGGCGCGCTGAGTGCCTCTCCGCGCTCGTTCCGGATGCCGATACACTTTAATGGCGTTGCGAGCCATCGGCGGGCGGAGGTGGAGCGAAGAGGAGAGGCTGCTACCAGGCCGCCGGCTGTTGACCCGCTTCGGACTTTGCTGCAATTTCGTCGCCGGCCCCCGCCCGCGCCGTCCAAATGCGGTGACTTTGCGTATCGCCGCAATAAGAACTTGGTGGCTCGCTCTTTGCAGATCCGCACGTCCGTTCGCGCGCATTTCGTTGGCGCGGGCTCCGTCTTCGAGCCCGCTTCAAAATCGAGAAGCGCGATTCTGCCGGACGTAAAAACAACTCGAGACGAGACGAAAGTCGCGGGCTACTCGCGTAAACCGAAGACTCGTTTTTAGAGCCGTTTCTCGGATTTTAAACAGCAACGAGATTTCTCCGAGCGCAAAAAAAGTGTGGGCTGATCGCACACGGCGATTCCATTGTTCATAAATAATATTTTTGTGCGGAAAAAAAAATTAATGTCGATCCAAAGTCGCCCAATGAATAAATCCTGTTAATTCAACGACAGTAACAATCCTAATAAATACATTCCTTTGTTAAGTTAACAAGAGTCATTCCAGTTGTACGCCGTAATATATGTATGTCATCAAACACATTAAAGAAATTAAAGATTTAAATAAACATAACGTTCTCCTGCTTTAATTAATATCGCTGTTCAATTAACGAGATTTATTCCAATTAGACGAGTAACATCGTGTTACTGTCGACATAATTTTTTTTTTTACTCGTGTATTTCATTGCAAATAGATTCAAGGTGCTTTGTGTCTCTTTCTCATCGTTTAAGTACAACCATCGATCCGAGTTACGCTAACGCGATGCACTGCGTGACGGATCTCCTTCAATTCCGCGTACTGTGTTTGCTTGCGAACGGGAAATCAATTATCCCTAAGTCTTGGAACTTGTCATTGGACTGATTAACACGCGACAATGACCCTAGTACTGATAGCAAGTACTCCGAACTCCCTAGATGCACAATTAATACCCGCTTAAATAGGCGTTAATTAAATTAACGATCGAACGACATACGACGCGTAGCGTCCCTAATGAAATTGTTCGCGTTTCGAATTCAAAGTACACTCCAAGCCGATTAATCGCATTTAACAAGATTTTTCTCGTCGATTATAATCATGCGAAAGCAACTGACGTACAATTGCAGAGTCAGACTGAAAGATCCTGCTACTTCGATTCAATAAGCTAAAAAAATATTGCGACACAGCTTCTCGCATTAATTTAATGTTCAATTACTTATCTGTATCGGTAATTGTGGAGGTGATTTTAAGAATCAATTGCAGTAAAACTATAATACATAGACAAATAAAAGTCACGCGACTGACAGTGCAAAATTATTTTCCAGTGCATTCAGAAATCAATCCTTAACTTTTATTAATTAACTTTGTATCTATATTTGGTTCATTATCCTTGGACGTATTAAACAGATCACTATTTCAATATACTTTTGCGCAATGTGTCCAAAAATGAGGAAGAAAAATGCTCGTCGGTATACAAACTTGAGATTAATTTCTAGATGTACTAAAAATTGCTTTTGCCTCGTCGTACTTTTGTAGTAATTCCTAATCGCTTATATTACAAATCAACTTATTCAAAATCTTTCTCCCAATTTCGTTTTCCCTTTACCACTCGAATGCATTAAGGAATCGACTGTGCAGGAAAGTCCGTTCTTTCGCAGGAACTTGCAGGAGAGAGTTGGCTCGCGCGATCGATGCCTCCTCTCGACGAGGAGGGTCCTGGCGCTCATACGCGCAACAGCGTGTCATTGTCATTGATGTCGAGCAACGGCCGATGATTGCCGGGCGCGTTACCGCGTCGATGATCGTGCGAGTAGCGGCCGAGGTCCCGAAGAATCCTGTAGGAGGGGCGTCGTAGTAGTTGTTATCGCCTGGAGGCACGGAAGTCGTCATTTGGCTATGCGAGGGTGACCACCCCCTCCGGCTCGGGCGACCAACAGTTGTCGGACAGCCAGCATCCGATGACGACGGTGATGAAGCCGATCAGGAGGGCCACGATGATGTAGATCTCCGCCTGTCCTAGCGAATCTGTTCGCACAGAGGATAAACGGGCGTGCTCGTGTAACGCGCTATTGTCGCGCACACGCGAGCTCGGTCAAGGAGCCAATTAGCGTTTCCCCCGCGCAGCTGCAGGGCGGATCGCATGCATTGAGGGACGATGGGGACGTTGGGAATGCTTAGGTGCTAATGCATGCTTGTTGCTTCAACCCCGTCGGGTAATAATTTGTTATCTCGAGCCCGCGTATGCGGTATCGCGAAATTAATTGCTCCGCGCGCTGCACAGCTCGGAGAAATGCGAGACGAGCTCGCAATCAAAGCGGGAGAAACGGGAGAGAGAATTGGTTAGCGATGCATTCTCGGAAAGGGAAGAAAAAAAGGAATCGCACTTTCAAACTACGAACAAACAGTGGAAAATCGGCGCTGGCGATAACTGCTTTCTCACGCACGAACGCATTTTTCACACTTACGCAAATGGGAAACGCTCGCAAGCAGCGAAATTGCTTACTTTAGTAATAGTTGGCAATTTCAGCGAACTGTACTAGAGCAAGAGATCGATCGGCGATATTTAGGAGTTTCAGTTTGAGTTAATCGGGAATTTGATTAATCGGTTGTTTGACTGGCAGGTTGCAGCTCGTCGATTATTCGATGAGCGCAAAATCTGAACGTTAATTTATACATACTGTAATTTGAGTAAGCGGAAATTCTAGTGAATAGAATTTCTAGTGATCCTGTAATGCAAAGAAAGCCAGTAAGTTGATTCAATGCGAAACAATATTATTCTAAATATTGATATTTCCATATTACGATCATTAATATTATTGATATTAATTATTATAACTTTACGAGCATTTTTACCACAGCGGTTATAATTATATTCTGAAACTCCTGTTCAACGTCTAAAAATAGACACAAAGATACATGCAATTTAAATCTGGCATAAGCGTTGCTCCAATCAATCGGTCTAACATTCCAACAGCAATCTACGTAAGTTCGCATGCAAGCGGATCATAAAGGATTAATATCGTATCGTATATATTTTCATTTATAATCGAGTGACTTTAAGTTCTCATAGTTAAGTAGAATCTAATCTGTGATGAAAATCCGAAATTTCGAAAGCGGAAGAAGGTTCTCCGCGGCGCGGAGCCGTATTTGAAAGTTAAAACAGAGACTTGAGCCGGCGGAGAGAGCGCGTGCAAAAAGACGCAGTTCCGTTTGTTCGTTTCATGAATTTTTCACAGCCATCGCCATTATATTCCAACCTCTCGGTTTCAAGCGACGTAGCCGGTGAACGACTGACTGCAGCGGAAACAAAGCGCCGTCGCTCCGTGCGCTCCGTCCGCTCGCGATAAAACGGCATAACAAGTTCCTCGACATAATTCAAGCAGCGTCGCAAATTAACCGGATTCTAATTCACTTATTTTCCCTTCTCGCTCGGGCGTCCTTTGCGATAACTTAATTAAACTTGCGCGGTGTCGCGATCACTACGACGGATGGCGATTAAAGTTCGGCCCGAACGATACGCGAAAATCAAGATTTAACAAGTATCCGAAGAAATTCACCGCGCGAACATCACTCGTGTGCGATTACTCGAGACTCCGGTAATTCGACGTGCGAAAAATTTTCGTAAGTTGGCATTCTGCACATGACCGCGGGCAGACAGGCTATCTGCCGTGAAATTGCGGTGCCGCGCGCCACAAGACGTGTTTTATGGTTCGACTGTCGTGATATGAGATTTCCTGCCGGCTGCCGTTACATCGTAGTTGTAAAATTAAAAAAGTTAGTTTTTTTTTTTTAGCAAGTTGCAACTTATGAACCACAGGTCAACGAGCATATAATATAAATTGCATCCGCGTTATTTCGCCATCGTGTCCGCGTGTCTGCAATTTCTGTTGACACAAGACTCATACTTCCTCGCTGCAGTCATATCGCGTGATGACATCAAAAGCGAGAAATAATATAATTTTTTATAGCTACATAATCTATTTTTATATATGCTACTCGCGGGCGACAGTATATAAATTGATAAAATATATCAAAGTTCTCTCTATATATTTTATTCTGCAATAAATGTTCATATAATTTAATATACATTTAACTGCAGTTTTAGCAGAAATAAATTCTTTATCACAGTTTTTTATCAAGATTTTTATTTACTTAGTTATTCATTAATTTCGAAATTGAAATCTTTGATATATGTGTATTTTACCAATCTACATTAATTATCAAATGTAAATAGTGAAACATTAATTTATTTTGACGTTTTCGCGCAAGAAAAACTTTGACCATTTCTCGTTCTTGACATTATAATTTAATATGACTACAGAGACATCAAGAGAAGTCTTAAGTCTTTGAGTCTTGAATTAATTATAAATGTGAAATAAAGAGTGACATAAATAGCTTGCTATCAGATTTAACATACATTCATGCGAAACTCTAATTGCATTAGGAAAATATAGCACGATTGTAAAACCATTCCATAAACGTGCCTACACAATAATAGAAAAATCACATAGAATGAATATGAGCAGGCATAGTGAATTATTATAACAAATCTACAGACATCAAGTCGTTGCAAGAATCCTAAAAAGAGGAAAAGAAAGAAACGAAGAAAAACGGTCTTATATTCATCAGCTACACATTTATGCCAGAAAAGTGAATCAGAAAGTTTTCGAAAAGTCAATATTAAAAAAATAAGCATTTATTAGAAAAATTCAAATATCAGATTTTTCTACAGAATCATTCTTTAGAACACTGCAATTGTGTAGTCAAATAAGTTGATTTAAAGTTTTGTAATAAATACTCTTTTAACAAGATTCTCCGGAAACTTGTTGATTCACTCTTGCACATCGTACATTATTAATGTGTCATTTAAGAAATTCGAGGTTGAAATTATTCAAAATAAACCCCCTACAGGTGCCTAGATGTTCGCAGCAATCTGAACGAAAACAAATATCGCCAATTTCGGGTTCGATCACAGCTATCGGCAGCCATTCGAAACGAGTAAAATGCAGTAGAGCGACAACAAAAATGACACACAAATGACGAGCCACCACACTTAGCAGGAGTGGTATAAGACCGTTTACCTAAAGGACCCTTTGATTTCCACAGGCCCTTGATGAGGGTTGGATCACCGCGGCGCCAATCGCGCCACCCTCGACCGCGACGAGCGGGTCCCTTGGACCAGCCGGTCCCAGACGCAGCGGCACCGCCGCCGGCTCCACCGCCGGTTGACCCGCCGCCGATAGTACCACCGGTCACACCCAAGCCAAAGGAAGCGGCACCAGCGGCGCCGGTGGCGAAACCGGTAGCGCCGCCGCCGCCGCCGCTTCCGGCAGCGCCACCAATAGAGCCACCGCTGCCGGGGCCCGGGGTGCTCGGCGACGAGCCGGCCTGCGGCTGACCGTGGGATCCCGTGCCCCCAGCACCGCCCTGTGGTATCGGCGCTCCCGCCGCTGTTTTTTCCCGTCCGGCAATCCCGCAGGAAGCAGCATGAAATGTACAGATACAAAGCGTGCGCGTTAAACTGATCGATTCGCGCGAAGATCGGTGAAGGGAAGACGCTCGTAAGGGCTTGCCTCCCGCTCGGTTCACTACTTATCTCTGCTTATCTAACGTCTTTAGAAAGCTCACGCGGTTATGATTGTCATTCTGAGGGGACGACAGTCCATTAATTATGTTTATCCTTGGCTTTCACTAGCTCCAGTTGCTTCAGTGGCGCCAAAGAGTGGTGCGCAGTGCGAATAAGTTGAAGTGTCTTTATGGCGAACTCTGGTATGCACACGTGATGAAAGATATTTTTCAAAATTGATTGATGTTCTTTCGATAATAAATTCTCTGAGCAATTTGGATTCAATTTATTTTGCGCGAAAATATCAAGGCATCGAGCTTCCGAGTTATAACTCGGAAATAGTATAATGTCAAAGCTCATAAACGATTAAAAGAGAAGAATTTTGCGCGAAATTAAACTTCGCAACAAACAACAGCAACAACTTCGCAACAACAGAGCTATATTGCTCAATTAATTATAAGTAGAATTTATTTTAATAGAATTTATATTTGCACCATAACGGAATTTTAATTTGCAACTTAGTTACAAAAATATTTAACACTGAAAATTGAAAAAAAAAATGCGATAAATAACATTCCTTGATATTTTCCTAAAGAAAAATCGATTTCAAATTGATCAGAGAATTCGTCATTAAAGGAACGCTCTGTAAACGTTCGATAAAATATTTCAAGAAGTAAAAGTATTTAAAATTCTATGTATAGAATGTATAGACTCGTGGAAATTTTCTAGAGAATCGATCTTAATTAGATAAGCAAAGAGCAGTATAATAGAGTAAACGATACGCACGCGAAGGATTTTTAAGGTAGAAGAATATGCAGAGAAACCGAAAGATGGTATAGATCGCTCCACTAAACTCGTGACAAGGATTTCATTAACATTTCATCAATTATTCCCCGATTAATTAGCAGTTACAGATAATCGTAATTAACAGAAGGCAAGGGACGATTCAATAATATAATTAGTTAAGAATGGAATGTAAAAAATATCCAGTTATAATTATTTTTCGTTCTCACTCGGAATATTTCTTATAATAATATATATATATATACAGGGTGTTTCATAATGTCCGTGCCAATGCTCGTGTGCGGTTAGAGTGCGGTAAACTGAAAAGTCCTTTTTAATTAATATTTCAATTATTATTGCGAAAATTGCAAAACGGTAAAGGATTTCTCTATTCAATTCACCGCACTCTATCCGCACACGAGCGTTGGTACGGACATTATGAAACACTCTGTATATATATATATAAGTAATATATGTGCTTCAAGATCGAGAGGATTTTAGTCCGCCATTAGGTTGAGGGATGACATTGATGTGAATGGATTGACGGGTAATTTGACGTGAGTGATGAATCGCATTTTGGGCTTCATTCATTGTCAGTGCTAACAGATGATGACGATTACATAACAACGATAAAGAGATAAACATCAATCGGAATTGTACCGTAAAATCATACGTTCAGCGCGAAGCTCAGTTCAGTCTGCCCTATTTTGAATTCGAAATTCGAGAGCGACTGTCTCGAATGTTTTTCAAAAGATGCATAGTGCAAAGCTCGGCTCGATTTCCGCTATTTGCGTTCCGAAATTGGCGTTGATAGCGACCATTCTTCAGTGATCGATCGTTATCAACATTGTTTCGAGATCCGTACTCAATCATAATTGATGGACCACACGAATTTTGAATTTCCGTGCTCGACCATGGGATCAATTAAGCCACGAGATCATGATGCGTGAATAGGCGAGGAAAGACTAATATTAAACTGGCGCATAGCAAAAATTAATTTATTCGATAATTGGTGTGGAAACGCGCTTTCCCATTTATTAAATTGTTTCAAATGTGTCTACTTTAATTAATGTTTGTGATAAACATGTATTTTAATTCAAGGCAAATCGTGTATCAAAGCGTATCGGCGCGTTATTCCCATCATTTATATTGTCCTAACTATTTTCATATTATATCTTTACTACTCTTTTGTTATAATTATCCTTCAAAATTATTACGACGATGAGATAAAATCATTTTTTTACAAGTTTCCTTCCTAATCAATCGGGTTTTCGTGAGTGAATCGCCAATGAATCGTGTTCTCATATTGAGAGGAAAAGCAGACTTAGGATAGACATTTCATCGCATTTCGAGCAACTTTGAAATATGTCACTTATTTCATTATTTAATAATTGCAAAATATTTCACATAAAATATTTGAGGAATTTTCAAGAAAACATTTACAATATTTAATATTTATGATTATTGGATTTTTTACATATTTATTATTATTTTAAACAATTAAATTTTTGATAATTCTCGAAGAGTTCTTGTGTCATTTTCGAATCGCTGACATATTCTAACAAAAATTGCAAATTCTAGAATGACACGAGAACCCTTTTAAAATCGATAGAATTATCGAAATTCGACTAGTGTCACACTCTCTACTCGTAAGTACGGTCTTTCGTACACTCCACATTGTTTACTAAACATTCTAAAGCTTTCGATGTGTAGAACTCTCGTTAGAATATTTCAACAGTTAGAAAATAAAACGAGAATTCTTTTAAAATCCACAAAGCTATGGAAATACGACGAGTGTCGCACTTCAAAACCGAATATAGGTACAATTCTTTCCAATAATATAAACTGTTTAAAAAATGTTTTAGCATTATTTATTTATGGAATTTTTGCTTAAACGTTTATATGATTACACAGCTAGACAAGAATTATTTTAAAATTTAAAATAGAATTTATATAAAATTCTTGGGGTAATCTATTTTTTTTTTTCTTTGTATTTCTATAGAATGCTTTCTCCTCGTGTTAATCACTTGTAATTGATATTTTTAACTTTTTAAAGGCAGAACTCGTATAGAACTCTAAATCTATCAAAAAAATGATTAACAAATTGTCGGGCGACAAATTGAGACGCAGCGTAAACCTGGTGTCTCAGTTTGTTCTGAGCCATTTTTTTTTTTATTCCCGACCAGAACTATTTGTTTAATCCATTAAGAACTCTTATTGTTAGAAATAAAGCCAGAACGTTAATTAATAAATTTCCACGAAATAATACGCTAGCTTCACACACATCCTTCCAGGATTAAATATTGTATAAATTGGCGCAGAAAAGACATAAATTAAAAGTAGACATATTCAAAACAATTTAATTAATGAAAAGGCGCATTTACACTTGACAATTATTGAATACATTAATGTACGTGCCAATTTTATATTAGTCTTTATTCGCCTATTCATGCATCCGTGATTTTACGGCTTAATTGATTCCATGGTCGAGCACAGAAATTCAAAATTCCGTGGTCCCATTGATGATGGTCAAGCACGGATGTCGAAACAATGTTGATAATGATCGAACTACTGAATAATGGTCGACTGTCAACACCAATTTCGAACGCAAATAGTGGAAACTGAGTTGAGCTTTGCGCTAAGCAATAAGTTTTACTATATATGCCGCAATTGTTATATAATTGTTATAATTAATTATACGGCTTTAATTGCACAGCTAATGTAATATACTTATTAACTGATAATAATATTCATCATTATCTCTGAATATTACATCCTACAGTTAAATTCTAGATGGAATAAATTTACAAAGGGATTATAATTATTCGTTTCTTTTTGATACAATTAATCCACCTTTCGTGTATTTAAATGCAACAATTTAATATGTACGTCCAAAGAAACACGTAATATTTATAATAATCAAGTTATTTAGGTTAAAAATTTCCTTGTATTAAATTCTTTTCAACTAGATTGTATACATTATTTATTTATCAAAAAACATCTAAATATATCTCAAGACCATATTTAGAATATTGAAAAGATATTAATATTTCTTTTGTTGCACTAGTATTAATTTTTAAAAACAGCAGGAAATGGTAAAACCGCAAGCGAATTTTCCTAAGGTAAAGAAAAATATTGCGGACCAATTTCGTCCGTTCAATGATCCCATTCTTTCGAATATGAGAATATCAAGGTCCGCCGGCTTCAAAACCTGTTGCATTCTTTTTGCAAACCGAGTTTAGCGGACCGTATTTTCGAACATAGAATATACGATATTCGATTTTGTCTATTATAAATAATCCGAAATTTTTAGTAAAATGTCAACGTACAAATATGAAACGTAAAACCTTTCTTGTTTATTTTATTTTACTATATATCGATTTTATATATTGTTTATTCAATACACAATATTCAATATAGCAAATAAAGTAACAATAGATAAAAATTTTTGGTTAAAATAAATGTGTAAAAATGTTACACAATTAAATTAACAGTCGTTTCTTAAATTCCCCAAAAAGATGTGCAAATATACAGGAAATATAAATGTTGTGTATATACAACCGCACAATAATCACTTGATTCACCTTTCAGAAAATTTGATTCAATGTATATCGCCAAATTTATATATTAAAATTGTATTTTCGCGCTTCGTTCATTGGTGTCAGGCAATCGTCGATGATGACAAAAATAAGTATAAAATATCCAATTCGTTGATTACGCTGACAGAGTATTATTAAATCGCACTTTGTTGAATGGATAACAATTATATAACTTTTAACACTTATCATCTCACGAAACCGTATCAACGTACTCATTATTATTCCGAGCCTGCTTGACCTATTCTTCAAGAGATTTAAGCACACATTTACATTTATATTTTACGCGCCGTAGATTTAATTGCAATGTAAATTTGACCAAAACGATGAATCAACGATTATCAAGCATCGCATGCATTCGTGCCATGAGTGTCCAGAAAGAGTCCTTCGTAACATAACAAACGTAAAGAATTAATTTACCATCAGGTTTGCGAAATATGTGATTGACGCTTTCGCAGCACCCTTAATGCAGAGTTGTGTTAGCGACATAAAGAATGCAATTTCATAAAGGAGAATTTTTCTTACTATACTCTACATCGCTTCTCCGATAATACTGAGCAATCTGCATATGCAGATTAAAGTTTTGATCGGCGGGGTGCGAGACGCACCTAGTTCAACCGCGAATAGAAAATCGATAATTTTAAACGAAGTATAATTTAGGATCAAACTGTAGCAGTCTGTAGTGAGGTTGAACGAGCTATTGAATTCGCGTAGCGGGCAAGTTTGTTTTAGCGAATTGGCCTCGTAGAAATTGCCTAACGACTGCGATTTTGTTCAGTGTCCCTTGAATTTCTGATTGCGCAATCTCATAAACGATTGCGAACAAGTCAAAATTTTAATACACCATAATTGCGGAAATTAGTACGCATTATGAATTACGGTTCATTAAGCCGATTATCAAGCGCGAAATTGTAGAATAATAAACAGAAATCCGCGTTGAAATGATAAAATATATATTATTCATATAGCATAGATAAAATTCTACTCTACTAATTTATGTCCGATGTTTTACGATTTTTACTCGACTTTAATGTATAGAGTGTATACTTCTGAAGATAATCAATGAAAAAAAACGCCGAATTTAATTCTAGAGACAAAAGTATAAAAATTGGAATTCATATTTCAATCCAGATATCAGATAACTATCAAATTATCGCAAGTTGCAGTATTGTGATAATATATGTATCCTCAGTTTGTAGATGTTTGTGCAAGCAATAAGCGTAAAAATAAGAATCTGTTATTAATGGCATTTTCATATAAGAGAAGTCTAAATCGTTTTTAATACTTACCGCATAAGGAGAGCAGAAAAATACTGGCAAGCAAAAACCACTCCATACTTCATCAACAGGTCCTTCCGTTCATGCTACATAGAGACATTGTTGAACTTTACACGTGCGTCAAAATGATCAGTGGCCAGTGCTGCACATTGGAACAAAAGTCCTGCAGAAGAAAAATAAAGACTGTTAAACTTCGCTTTGTAACAGTATAAAAATAAGAAACACGATGAAAACTTATAGTTTAGTACATTTATCAATGCTAATAGAATTACTGTTACTTCCATTTTATTAAACGTTCTTTTATTTTAACTTTTATCACAAGATTTTCTTAAACGTCTAAACGTAAAAAAATGATTATTAATGTCGTATCAAGTCTACAACAAATGTGCAAAGCAAGATTGCGGACGCCTGTACAGTTAATTGCGGAGGGCCGAAAAATTTCCTATATCAGTGGACTGCAACGCGGGGAGAAGAATAATTGAAACGACCTATGCCGAGAGCAGCTCCCTTGAAACGCGGAATCCGCCGTTCTATATAATCGCGGACGAATAATGTATAAATTCGCTTTCGAGCGGAGTCGCGCGGTGCTCTCGACATTTCCGTAAACCAGCAAATGGCTTATGCATGAGCGCGTCAGTACAAATCCTGGTTTGGTTCTCGGCAAGATTATATTCATATTCGCAAGGTACGTCGGCGTCACGTACGCATTCCGTTTCCCATTGCAAAATTTTCGCGCAGCGGCCGTAGGTCTACATTAACCAAGTGAGCCGGGCAGCCCGCACACATCGCAATTTCACGGCATGTAGAACTCTTCTAATTTGAATATCCCTGAAATCATTTTGTATTATATGTACATATGCGTCAATGTAATATCAATATATGTTAATATATCAAAGTCTGTTAACTACATTAATTGAAATTAATTTTTTACTTGTAGCTGCACATTCTGATAACAATTATTGTTGTAGTTTCCGCTGAAATATTTTTAAAATCTTCGAAAATAATATTGTAAATATTTCATGGCTAATGTAACATCTATCAATTTCTAAAGCTTTCGATCAATCAGAACAGTGCAGTCTCATTAATAAATATATTAATAAATCTAAATATATTAATAAATCTAAAAAATTTGGATGGATTAACTCAATTCTCACTGATAATAATATAATAATAATAAACAATCTATTTATATATCTATACAATCTATCTATTATACAATATTTTGTTGATAATAATAAAATATTTTGCAGAAATGTGAAAAAAAGGAAATTGACATGTACAGATAGCATATACGGTTAATATTCATCGCGCAATATTCAATAACTTTATTGTCTATAATAATTAATGCAATATTTGATCTGCCATTTAATATTAATTCTACGTATGTGTGTGTGTGAAATTTGGAAAGACGATTATCAGTATTAATTAATACAATCTATGTAACAGTTACATATTGAATGACTATGAATTATATTATTAGCACATAATATACAATTACTAATTGTTGCTGGAACATATGTAAATTAAGAGCAAGAAAAATAAAAACAAAACAGCAAGAGAGAGAGAAAGAGAGAGAGAAAGAGAGAGAGAGAGAGAGAGAGATTTTATATTGACAAATGTAAAACATTGTGTGTAACATTTGCCAAATTGCATTAATATTACAAAATTCCAGTATCAAAAAACTATTGTTAGTCAAACGACAAAATGTCCGTTACTTTGCAGAGCTAAAATGAAATTTGATCCCCATATGTACTAAAGAGGTTACCTGCGAAATACTAAATCAGATATGACATCGTCGGATGAAAGACATCATCACTGTGCACTCCGTGTCGACAATTCACAAAATATCACAAATATCACTCGCGAACGCGTTTATCACCTCAAAGGAAACCGTGTCGTGCGGCCACGTCGTGGACCGTATATGTTTTATTGCATTCAAAAATCACAATAATCCTATTCGCGCGTCAAAAACCGACGCACCGCTTGCTTCAAGTAGTTAAGAAGCATACTAGCGCACTCTAATGGCATGTTGTCTAACATAAGTTGTCACATTTTTAGGTGAGTAATATGTATACTGTCATTTGTTGTTTATTTCCTGATTTATGAAGTAATTTATAAAAAAGAAATAAATTATAAAAATCTTCTATGTAATTTGGGCAAAATATATTTTATTTTAATTTAAAATTATATTCAAAGTATGAAATAAAATATCAAATAAAATATCAAAAATGTTGAAGATGCGGAGGTTATGTAGAGCGTATGGTTTATCTGTCTCAATTTAGTATTCAATTAATAATTAATGTCATTAACGTAATTACCAAAGCAAATTAATGTACAGCTCCGTGTTATTAATCTATTATTAATGCACATTGCATGCAAATAGTTTTTGCAATATTTCGCGCATTGTGTGAAAAGCCACAAGATTCCTACATTTCGATGATCTCGATCGATCGCGCGTAATCGATAACATAGCTGCCTGCGGCGTCTGGCGTCGTAACGTTCCCGCGCAATGTCAAGTTTCCTCTTGTCGATTCGAAACGGAAAGCTCGTCCAGACGTATCAGGTAACAAACAACTCGCCGGGATTTTTGTAAATTGTTCGAGGATTGTATATATCGAGGTAAAAACTATTCACGAGTTTCCACGATAACAAGTTTCTATGTGTTAACAGGAAGGAACAAAAGGATGTCAGAAAACTTTACAAGTGACATCGATCGGCTGTACGATGCGGTCAACAGCATCCACAAATCTTTGCAGTGCACAATCTGGTGAATTTGCTAGAACAAGTACAAGTATCTAATCAGAGCGCCGCTAAACTTTAATCGAATATACTCGCATGATGTATTTCGCTGTCATTAATAAGCTGTTTTTGCGCGTGATGTTTGGTGCAAATATAGGTTAGGATTCCAGTAATGCAACAAGTGTTCAGTGTTTCTTATCGCACTTATGAATTAATCCAATGAAATAATTAACAGTTCTTGCAGATTTTATATGAGACATGTTAGATTAATGAAATTTGAATTATGTTAACTACATATTTAGCTTACTTATCAATTTTTCAAATGTGTAAATGAAACAAAGAAATATAATGATACACAAAGCAACTTAAATGTAGCTTCATAATAATATACATGTATTTAATTATAAATGTATAAAGCAAAATGATAATGTTATTAATGCTTTTTGTGTTAATAGAAACTAGATTAATCCCAAAATATGATTTGTAAATTTACAATTTTATATTACAGTTTGGAATTGATGATAGAGCCTGTGAAGACAAGATGTGGCCACTCCTTCTGTAAGTTGTGCGCAGCAGAGGTCTTGCAGAAGAAATCTTCATTTTGTCCATTGTGTAAGAAAAAGCTCGACAGACGCAATATTTCCAAGGATAATCATTTACAGTTATGCATAGAAAAATTTACAGCACTTGTCTCTGCTATCGAAACAGACAGTCACATTGACAGTAAGTATAAAAAGTATTTTGACTCCAATTTCTTTTGAAAATATGATTATGAATTAATTGTTAATGATATTCAAATTGACACTTAACTCATCAGTTTATCATATGGTAAAATATGAATCATTATTCAGCGATGCACCATTTCTCAAAGCAGAACCTATTTTATTTTCTAACATATTTTTTACAAAATCGTAAATATCTTGATATTTTCTAATATTTATAATATTATAATATAATATTTATAATATAGTAAATGTAGTAAATAATTTAATTTCCATTAATAATTCATGACTTTTTATTTTCATAAAACATATTCCTACGGATCGACTACATGTTGCATATTGAGTAACACTATAAGAAAAAGTAGAATAAAAAACTGTCGTAAAGGCATCTTAAATATTCAGCGCGAAGGACGAGGATAACGTCGGAACGATACGTGATACCCAAACTCCAGAGTCTCGTAAAACATTGAGCTTTCTCTAAAACGTATAGCGTGAATCGAGGCACCCTAGAGTATCAAGAATTAAATTTTTCAGACCTCCGCCGTCCTGCGCGCCACGAAGAACATAGTGCTGACCTTACTTAATGTACTTTTACAGTGTTGCATCCAATGATACTGTACTTTTAACTTTCACAGCTAAATAAGACAATTGCAAATCAATAAATAAGGTACAGAAATTATGTTCACTATTGAAATTGTGTACCAAATTTATACAACAATGTCGTCAATATTGCAGTGCAATCTGGCAATTCTTTAGAAAAGTTATTCTTATTTTTTTGTTTCTTATGAATTGTTGATGTAAGTAATAATATAATTTATTTACCGCATTATAAGAATTAATAGGTATCAGAATATTTATGATTCAATATTATAAATATTATAAATATTATAATATTATAAATATATACCAGAAAGTGAAATGTGTTATGCTTTGAGAAATTGCGTATTGAAGGATTTATATTAGCGTTATAATGTGTAATCTTGTTATCAAGACTGCTTTATCTTTAATATAGCTTTCCACGCAGAAAAAGTAGATAAGATAATCACATACAGAAAATATTGTTTAATACATTTGTACTTTAATACTTAAGATTATTCTATTCTTCTTACATATGCGTTTTGTATTGATACAGAATGAGGCAGAATATGTGTAATCAATAATCGTCTCAATGAAAATAATCATTATCTGAAAAATATAGAGACTACAGAAATATTTTGATAATCTTAATCTACGCACTTAATCGTATTTATGCATATTTATTTATATATAAAAGAGCGATTGCAAATTGATTCACTTTCTGATAATTATATATCAAAACATAACATTTTTCAATAATATTAGCAAATGAAATATTAGCAAATGGAAAACCGTTCCAATATCCGCTGTAAAGCTTAGATAACATTTGTATTGCAGTATTATCGTATTCAAAACGACCGCATGATACGAAGGAAAGCTGCTCCGATACATGCGTTAACAAAAACTCCAGAAGATTATCATCGAAAACGCAATCCACTCATCAAAGTTCAGAAAGACAAATAGAAAAATCGTTCAGCAGTCGAGAAACGACGATTAACCGTGGTGATCAGCAATTCAATTCGAGCTTGTTAAACAAAAAATCTATATCGAACGCATTCAGCAAAGTAGGTTTTACCGACGATGTAAATGACATGCCAGAAATCAAAGTTCGTACGTGGCTTCATACCTTACCCGATGAACTGCTGCCTTTAAACAAAGATGACAAAGTATCGATGACAGGCAAAACTACGTCGATCAATCAATCCGAAGATGATAGCAAATCAGACGCGACTAGCAAGACATTAAAGACATTTAAGATGAGGAAGAATCGTAAAACAAGTAAAAAACAAAGTTCGGTATATATTGACGAAGACGACGAAAATGCGTCCCAAACGAGAAAAGGTTTGTCTCAACCAAAGAAAGGCACGAGAGCGAGGCAATCCGGCAAAGTAAAGACAATCGATTCGAGCGATATCGATTCGAACAAATTAAAGTACGTCGGAATTCACGCTAGAGTAAATTCACGCGAGAGGGAAAGTCGGAAGAAAGACGCGACAAAGCCAGGCGTCGAGGAGACTAACAATCGGGAAAACTCGACATTGACAACAGCGACGATCGAGGAACGTGATCGTTCGAGCTTGAGCGCGGCAAACACGAGCTCTGCGAATTGGTCCGGCGTGCTGGAATTCGGAAAGGAGATACGCGCGAAAAAGAAGAAAATAAAGAAACTAAACGTGAGCACCGAGAAGAGTAAAAAGCTGCCTCAGTTAGTGGAAAATATCAAGCTGAGCAATCAATACGATTTAAGTAAAATAATGCTGAGCGGTAAAACGAGTCGAGATCAGGCAAACGTATCTAATCTACTAAAAGAGTCAATTGGTCGGGAACAGGATGCGGCTGATAAGAGTCCGAACTTATCAAGCATAAAAACTCACTTGAAAGCATCGACTGAAACAGATGCTCGTAATGAAGACGTATCGTTTACCAAAGGCAAAGACATCAACTCGACGATTAACTTGCCGATAGAAACGTCGTGTATCACGCTGGAAGAAGGCGAAAGGATACACATAAGGCATTTGAACAACGATCAGGTAAACCAAATTATCGGTATCGAGGATTTTCAACATGCCGAAAATCAATATCGCGAAGAGAATGTAGAATTTGACGTTCATCCTGCTTCATTACTGTCGCCGCGGAAAAGACTGACGCCGGCGAAACTCAACAAATCCACAGGATGCAAAAAAATAACGCCCACCGCCGCGCAAGCTTCTATCAGAAATTCTAAAAATTCAGCAGACTTAACGATCGAAGATCGAATTGCCGGGCTTGAAGAGAACAGCAGTGTGAAAAGGACGCCGGAAGAGGTTCCTTTTCAATCTCCGTTATCAGGTAGATTATCGTTGAGAAGAAAACCAGATGTTAGCAATAACACAAATTCGCCGCTATTCAGCCAACTCTCACTGGCCGACAGAGTGCTGCTTGACAGATATGAAAGTGATGCGAGTGACTGCAGGAACGTCGATTCGCGGGACAAAACGCAGTCTACTCGAATGGCAGCTGTGAGACGTCATTTGAACTTGGACGCTGGCGATATTGTCGCCGGATCTGCGGCGCCAAGAAGCACTAGGAATCAAGGACACAGATTCTCTGTAAAGTTCATACAACTGGGTACATTGTTCAGACGAAGCAATGTAAGATACTTTTACTTGTACGCGACGAAAAGTGAACGAGCGCTGAGAGTCAAATTTGACGTCGGCACAGTATGCAACATGCAGCAATCGATCAGCAGGCAGGAAATGGAATCCGATGTCGCGCGTGAAGCGTTGCGCGACTTCGTAGCGTCTGCCAATCCGTCGAAGGACTCGCAAAGTTTCAGCAATATCACTGTAATAGAGAATCTGCATTTCGCGGATAGCGTGAACGCGAATGCGGCTGCTGTCCCGGAAGATGCAAAGTTTTTCTCGGCAGCGACAACTCGCAAAGTTTCAGGGACTTCGACGTCGAGGACGGATATCGATCGTGATTTAAGTCGAAAAAGGATCACGGCGGTCGAGCGCTCTTCAATGAAGGCGAGTGAACGATCGACCGAATCGGCCGGCGACGCTGAGAAGCGCTCGCAGAAATCTCTTCATACGCTTCGCGCGCGTAGCGATAACAGTACGATTCGGAAGACTTCGCGCCCTTATGCAAGCTCGACGAATTCCGTTAAGCTGCTATCGCCGGACAAAGATTCGCAGTTGAAATTTCTGGCAATAGACTCTCCGACGAGCAAGAGCGAAGACTCCAAAGCCAGTTCGATACGGCAGCAAGTCGCTATCAAAGAAAGTAACTTCGCAGCGTCCACTAGAGTCGCAGCGGCACAAAAGTCTTACTGCGAAAGCTCCAGTAAAAAGAGGAAAAGAACGAGATACGCTGGTGACGAAGGGCTATTCGACGACAGCGACGATTCCGACGTCTTGTTCGACGTTCCTACAAAGCTTAAATGTAGCAGATCATTCCATGGCGAAAAATCGGATTTGGATGCGAATAAAAAGCGCCGTTTGAATTTTTCGGACGATCAAATTTCCAAAGTGATCTCGAATTCTGAGGAACAGCACGCGCCCAAGAAAATAGTGCCGATTCTCGACTCGGACACAGAATCCAAGTTATCAGCAAATGTCGCAGAAAATCGGAAGAGGTAAATGAAATTATTACGATATTATATAAATATTAATTCTATGCGATCGGAATTCATTTTGAATAACAAATTGGTATTAAACATATTTTGTTCTTATTTTTATATTTTTAGAGTAAAATAAATGTTGCAATATTTTCTTGTTCTCAAAAACGTATAAAGAAATTTATGTTGTAGAAAATTTTATAAAGATTAGAAAAATATAATTTGTGCTAATTGTAATCATGTGCACTGCTTCAATTGTTTGGAAAACTATGCGGAAGATTATCGCAAAACATTATCTGAACACAAGATCGCAAGAATTAAACGTTATCATTTACATTCTAATTTTCCACTCACGATATTTTTTATTTTTGTAGAAAACTTCTTTCATCTCTGTTGGCTTTTTAACTAGTAATTATTTTGTTTTTTTATTCAGTTTTTTTTATAATTGTCAGTACGTGTGTTATCATTACTGTTAATTATAATTTTTATATGTTTCATCCATCTAATCAGTGACAATCTTTTCAAAATTAAATGTATTTTTTTCTATTTTTATTTTTTTTTATACACTAAGCTGTTCGGAATAATTACTATTGCACTCTACTGTCATTGTTATTTTTTAAGAGAAAAAATAGCACACAAAACAGAACAGAATTCACGCAAGAGAGCGCATTTAATCTTGAAAAAATATTGTTGTTATTGAGGATACGAATATATTCTTTTTTATATAATAACCTTTGTTTTTTTTGCAGCCACAAATTCGCAACATCGGAAATCAAAGAGTCGGAAGTATCTGAAAGCAACAGCATCTTCCATTCGGACAATTTGGACTTTATGCTGCAAGAACTAATGGAATCGAACGGTAGTAAAACGCAGAAGATCGCGAATCCTTCTAACGATGACATTATAAATCGAGTGCTGCAGATCGATCAACCGCGCAGTGATCCTGACGCGCGCCGGTCGCTGAGTTCCGCCGCGCTGAACGACAGAACGAGTCAGAGCAAAAAGAACAGCGGAGATTACTTGCTGCAGGACAATTTCGACGAGACCATCGCCAACATCGACCTGCCGCAAAGCGAGGATATGATGTCGAGCAGCGAGCAGCCGGCTCGCAATCATAGCCGCACGCTGGTGGAACAGAATACGCCGAACTGTCCCACGATGACGGATGAACCGCGCGACGCCACGCAGGAAACTCCGATGATATCATCGACGAACGACATTTTCGAGCATTCTTCCAGAAACACTAAAAAGTTGTCCGCGAGAAACGCTTCGGAAAATTTCGACAAGGAAAACGCGATATCCCACGTCCACAAAAAACGCGAGTCAATGGACGATCGAGGGAACAAAAAAGGCACAACGACAAAACACTTTGTTGACACAATTGATAAGGATTTTCATCGAGAGATTACGAAGCACAACGCATCACACGAGAAGGAGAAGTCATTCAGTCGCGCCGAGAGTCTCCAGACAGATAAAAAACATAATGTTTCGACAAATTCATTGAGTCAGCTGGACGAAAACGACACGCTCATGAACGTCACGCAGGATCAGGCTCATCTGCAAATCTTTGAGCAGGACCTATTCAGCAGCCCGTCTACACGAAAAACCACGCCGAAAGTGGCTTCCGAGAACGATCGAGAGGTGCAGCGCACTCCGAAAAGAAGAAAGCTAAATGACAGAGACGAGAATGCAGCGGCAGAAGTAAGTTTATTATTTACACAATTGTTATACGACATTCTTCATCTATTTTTAATCGGTATATTGCATGTTTTTCATCATGCTTTTTTAATGCCTTTGCTATCTCAAAATGATATCTGTCTGCCTCGCGTTGCAACAAATTCTTTAGAAAAAAAAAAACAGTGCAACTAATTGAATTTACATTTGTGAGTACAATTTTTGCATGATTTATTCTTCATTGCGCATGCAATAATAGAGATACGTTGTACGCGCATTTTCTAGAAATTGAAGGAAGTTTTATCTCGCCGAAATAATTCGTGTAATTAATTTTTCCGCGTGCTCGCAAAATTTAATCTGTGGCATTAAATATACTAATACCAACATTTTAGATTCCACTAAATTTTTGCGCTATAAACGTTTTACGGCTCTTTTTACAAAGCCAGCCAGTTGCTTTACACATGTGCACGCGTCAGTCTATGCGGAATTACAGGGGGATGCATTGCACGGCAGCGGAGAATTATGAAATAGCCTATATATTATCTCGTCAAGCCTGCGCTATAACACTTGCAATCTCATTTCATTTAGTTAGCTCACTGTTATTTGTAATCGTCATGCATTTCGGTCTTGCAACACGAGAGCTTGTCACATAATGTAGCGTACGAAGAATCACACGGTACTTTTAAACGCAGGGACGCCACGCCGAAGAAGACGACATTGTCGAGAACACTCCTGAGAGAACGAGGAAGAGGTAAGTACTCGTGTTTTAAACCCTCTTCCGCCTCACAGTACACTCTGCGAGTGCGCTTAAACGCTTTTGCTACTTTAATACGCTTGTACATATTGTAAATATGTAAGCACTTGTGCTACATGATTTACAATGAAATGGCTAGAACTGTCCTTCTTCATTTGGCCTCGAACGTAGCGCTGCAAAATATTTAAAACGTTGCGAAAAACATAAGCGGTTGAAAAAATAATGAAATAAATGTTATTTAATATTCAGAATTATATGTACACACACGTACAGTTGTTGTGATTTAAACGATAGCCAGTATTTGATGCATCTGTTTTGCATCGATTCGCAAATACGCATTGAAGTACAGTTAATAAAATAAAATTCATATTCGCAATTGCCGAGAGAAGGACAATTCTGACTGTTTTTTTTTAATTATTTAATCATTGTAGTGCAGAATGATGTGTCAAATAACATTGCAATATTGCAGTAGCGAAAGCAACATAAAAACAGTTGAATCGAGGAAAAGTACATCACATCTATCAGCGATTACGATTACGAGCGGTAGCTCTGTATACAACATGATGCCGCTGTGTGAAAGCACGCCAAAAGTAGCGCGTCCCGCCGCAATCGGGCAGAGCAAACAGGAAACTATTCTGAGCGGTAGTATTTTGCTGCCGAAGCAGACGGACGGTAAGACGTCGGAGAACGTCCGTCAGCTGTCTGACAGACAACAGCTATGCTTTGTATGCACCAGCTTGTCGAAAGTTCAAGTATCGCTCGTGACGGAACTCGCGGCGAAGCACGGCGCGAATTACGTGAACCAGTTCGATCGCAACGTAACGCACGTCATCGTGAACACGACCGGCGAGCGGAACGTAGCCAGAAGCACGCTCAAGTATCTCCAAGGCATAGCTCACCGGAAGTGGATAGTCAGCTATAGGTGGGTCGAGGATTGTCTCGAGCGAGAGAAACTGCTGGACGAAGGTCCCTACGAAGCGACTACGTTCAACGACGGCGTCATCGGCGTTAAGGGCCCACGGAATTCCAGACTGCGCGAGAAGGATCTGTTTGAAGGGTTCACGTTTTTGTGCGTCAAACCGTATAACAACGTCTCGCACAGCCAATATCAAGTTAGTTTTATCATAATTGTCACAAAATGAAAGATGTATCTTTACTTCCGACTTTCTTATCTAGAACTTATCCAGATCGTCATTCTCTCTTCTCGCAAATTCTATTAATATGCGTCGTAAAGAACGGCATTTTTTTCGGCAGTGATTAAAACGAATGCTTTGTGCGCGTCACTGAAGGATTTTTATTTACGCTTTCTTCGCGTTCAGCCGGCACCATTTAAAATTGGACCCGGGCCAAACCCATCGTGTAACAATACTCTCGGTTTTTAGGACTTGTTACTCGCCACTGGAGCCACGGTGGTCGATTCTCTCGAAGATCTCGCTAAGAAAGGAGGCATGAAAGGCGTGGTAATCCAGGACAATACTCATGATATTAAAACGATCGGTAGGCTATTACCGCGATACAAGGATACTAGTTTTTCTCGAGTCCACGCCAGCATATTAGGCAACTCTTTTTCAGAACGTTGGTATCACACCGCCAAAGCGGCGCCCATTATCGTCGAATGGATAGTGGAATGTATCGGGCAATACAAATTGCTGAAGCTCGCATCACAGTATTTGTCGGTGGAGGACTTTCAGGCCATCGGCTATCCGCGAGAGCTCGTGGAAGAATACGAAGAATACAGTGACGATGAGAATTAATATAAAAGAGGTATATTTTTTGAATAATCATTATTGACTTGCATCATTATATATTTTCGACAATCTAATGTTCATCACTATGATAGTATTATTATGTTTAAGTTACGTTAGCACTTACGAAACCTACTCTCTAAATTTTTTGAAATTTTTACTATAATCATGGAGTCACTGACCAATTCACTCCATGTGGAGTTAGCGCTCCAAACTTCACTCCAACTTAAAGCGAAATCGCCTTCTCGTTGGTAGTGTCAGAACCGGGAGAGGTTAATGTATTTTGTATGTAGTTCGGGACAGTGAAAGTAATTAATTTCTATCGAAAACATTAACCAAATCCCAGACAATACGCATGTCCAAAATTTTTAATATGTCTTATGTCGGGACATAAGACGTTTTAAAGACATCGTGTCAAAAAGATGTAAAAAATGACGTCTTTAAAATGACGTCCCGATTTCATTTTTTCGAAAAGTGAAATTTCACTCCATTTCGACTGGCAGTATTTTCATTGTTACTTGGAGTGACTTTTCACTCCAAAAGAGATTCCACTCCAAGAAATTTAGAGAGTACATAACTGCGTGAATTAAACTTCAATCATTTGCCATATCTATCGTTATAATATTAACTGTTACATGCGGATTATATTGTTTCCTTTTTTATATACAGTATATATATGTTCAGATGTTATTATCATATAATTTATAATTTATATGATTTTGCAATAAAAGTTTGTTTCGACCAAAATCTCCTCCCTCTTTAATTCGATTCTCGTACTTTGTTCGAAATGATGTCTTTATTTTATTTGTTGTAGCGAGTTTGTTATTGCGAAGACCCTTCCGTCTACCAGATCCACCTTACATAGCTTTCCAATTTAGCCTCAAGTTACCCAAGGCTGCTGTAAGTACCGCAAGACGCGTCTCGAGATATTTTGCGGGCGTTAATGAAAGAGAGAGAGAGAGAGAGAAAAAGAGTCCGAGACTCGTTCGGTCTTGTGACGAAGGGAAGGAAAAATATTTTTCGCCGCGCGGCAGACCGTTGTCATCGTCGCTGTCGTCTCCGCCGAGATCGTAAAATCCGTGGCGGTGACTGTAGGGGAACGTTAAAGGGTGCTCTCTCGTATATCCGCCCCAACACGCGTACACATATTGATTTGCCCGGGACCACCTGTAGCCAACTCTCATCCGCTCGCGCACCGCACAGCGGTTATGAATCCCGTCCGATTGTACGCAGGCAATGAAAAACGAACGCGATACATTCTATACACACACGCGATACCCCCGACATTAATATTGGGGGCGATATGCGCGTATCGAGTAGCGGGTCAAAATTAACACGACCTCGCGAGCTCCGCCACACTTTAAATCGCGATATTTTTCAAACGTTTATTAATCATTGCACAAGGTATTCTACAACTTGCGCGTGTAATTTTAATGGCGCGTCTTCAATTTTCTTAGAGTAATTTAAAGTTTTTCCTCAGTGAAAGCGTCGAGGCAGATCATCATTTATCACAACTTTCCAATTTTTACCATCATATATCTCTGTAATTAAGTTTCAAATGAAAATTCTATTATAGTCTACTCGAAATTAACTCAACAATATTATCGTGTCATCTCACAACTATTTTTTCTTCATTACTTAATTTGTAAAAGCCTTCCTTTTCAGTCACTTGTAGCTAAAAAACCACAGGTGCTTCAATATTTTCGTTAAGAAAAAATCAATCAATTGTAAATTTGTCATCGAAATTAAGATTGCGAGTAGCAGAGTATCTTGTCTATTAGTTACTTGTTTAAAATATAATTTTGCCACTGTAATTTCACAAATGAAAACAGATATTGTATTCAACGATGACGTTAATAATGGATTTTAACAATAATAGATAACTTTATAAATTATGCAAGTGCAACCGCCATTAATAATGGCATTCGCGCGCCGCTTCGCGGCGAGCGGCGGTGAATTTTGATTGAAGTAAGTTACTTGGGATTTGCCTGTTTACAATATATAGAGATTCGATTATGCCTTTTCTCCGCTATACCGTAGCCGTACATAACTCGGCACTGTTGAAGTTCGCCATTGTGCGCGGTCTTCTATGCCCGTGTTTGCGAATCGCTCTCAATTGTGCGGCGCACTGGAGAGCCCCATTGTGTGTTCTCGCGCGACGCTACTCACTAGCGCGCGTACGCGTGTGCATCGCGTTCATTCGCGTCGTCGGCAGAAGGTAAAACGCCAGTACATTATCGCCTTCGAACGAGGCTTCCTTTATTAAATTGAAATCATGACGCGACGAGAGAATGGCACGAGGTAAGCGATTAAGAAGATAAGTGATTCTATGCCGCGTCCCCATTGCATGCACGTCAACTTTCCATCGATCTTAAAACTTCTTGATCTTAAAGATATCGATATGAATTACTTGTCGAAAAAACAGTGCTTAATTAGTGCAATTTCAGCTGTTGCAAATACGCGGTAAACAACAAATAAATTATACACCCTGATCTATACTTATACTGTAGTCGAACGGCAACCTAACCTAGTAATCAAACGCGTGTTGTGATTACTAGGGGTCATCAATAATTATGCTAGCCTTCGTGAGCTATAATAACGCTCATCAGACATGCCCATTCCATCGCGCATTACTGGGTCTTTGTTATAATGTATCTCGTATAATAGTAATGTTTGTACGCGCACGGCATTTCATGGCGATGCGCTGTGGCAAGTGTAGGCAATAACCGCGCGCTTGTGCATCTCCCGCTTAATCATCTCCGGAACGTAACAAATTTTGGCGTCATCCCCGGGATTGCCGAAGCGTCCCACTTGCGACACGACACGTTAATTGCGTCGCAATCATCTGGTTACTTTTAATCCGATAATTTGCATCCGATAAAACCCGCGCGCGCGTTCGAATATTTCATTTACCCCCTCAAATGGAATTCAAATATCATAAAGTTTCCATTTGAAACCTTAATCGAGAAGATATTTTCGTAACGTAAAATGTTTTTGTTTTAGTTTCTAAAAATATTTATATCTTGTAAATATATTATAAAAAGAAAGACGTTAAATTCAAGATATCCCAAAATAACGGTACATATTTTTAAATACGTCTCATTTAATTGTATAAGAGTAGAAATATTGGATTTACCACAAATAAAATAATTGCCATAGTTTTGGAATTAATATTACTGCAGCGTGTTTGAAATGCTTTTCATCAGCTGCAGGAATATCTAATCCAGGAATGTTTAGAGGAATTCGAAATTAAGAAGCATCACTATAAATTGTAACATAATTATTACTTTTTGTAATAGTTTTTATAATTTTTATTTTAAATTATATTTCAGATGCCTAAATCAATTAAGCATCGCGGCTACATTGTGTCATTTATTTCGAAAATTTCTATTATATATTGAAGCAAACTTATTAAATTGAAAAAAATGGTAATGGCGAAATTTGACATAATGATTAAAATGAGCTAATACACATCCGTATTGGCGAATAATAGGAAGCGTTCCACTGACCCGTGTTTTACGCGCTTCAAGGCAATACCATTGGCTCCTTAATCGCCAAACTGTCTGTATAAATTACAATTTGTGAAAAGTATGGCAATAACTTGCCATTACTCCAATGAATTACCGTGCAGATTGCCGTTTTCCCGAAGCATCTCGCTTTCCAGTCAAGAGATTACAGTCGTAAAACGAATCCCTTCTCTTGTTCTTCTTTTTATTGCGTAACGAGAAGCATAAAAACACTTGCAAAACAAAATATACAGAACACTCTGCAATATTTCACCAAGCAATGTGTCATAGAATCGAAAAATAGAAACAGTAACGGTGTTTTTATTGCCCGGATTTTTTTTCTCGTTATTTTTCCACTTGTAAGTTCGCTATACATCCATATTTTGAATTTTGATCTCTGATTCATTCGATACACACTGTTCGCGAGTCCAGTTTTCGGCGAATCGAGTCAGCGTTTGTAAATTTGTTGCAGCTTTATAAACTGAAGTTAATTGAATTTGAGATATTTGTGGAATTGTATAGATACATCGCATATCATTGGTTTTTGTCTTAATTACGCGGTTTGCAGAATACAGCGTAATTATGAAAATTCAAAGGAATCATTGCAAATATACCCCACAGTTAAATTACAGAAATTACGCTTTGACTTGTTTAAAATGTATTTTATTGTGTTTTGTCGATAACTTCTTTCGTAAAAATATGTTATAATAAACAATGTTATAATAAACAAATTGATACAACATTAATTAAATTTGCATGCCGTCAGAATTATGCTCCGAATTAATTCTGTAGAACGAGCACACTAGATTTATGTAAAGTATTATAATCGATGAAAGCAACCATCCATCTATTTTCTTTTTAATATTATCCATTATATATGTGGATATCGATATAATAACGGATAATTAAGGGATCAATATCTGTGCATTAGAAAATATCCAATAAAGTGGCACGATAAGTAACTTAATGAGGCCAGAACAAACTGACGGCTGTTCGCGTCACGCGAACGATCGATACATTGAAACGATATCATAAGTTGCATCAACATCAAGCTAATGAACTTTCTGCTTGACCTGGCAAACCAGGCCTATCATCGTTCAATCGTTGGCGGATCAATTTTAAAGCAAATATCGACAGCTGCTTTATCTTGAATTTTCACTTTCAGTATTGCACTCATAATACAGTTTTGTTGCCACGTATATTACTCTTCGCAATACCCTCGCACAAAGAACGCAATAAAGCGGTGAAAAAATGCCGGCCATGATAAATAACGCATAGCTCGGTCCACCAAGATTGCCATCTCGCGCGAGCAATTTCACGGAACATCGTGCATGTCCTGCGGACACCAACGACGGATCGCTACTCGAACACGATGCGACGCGAGACGATGCTCTTTATGAGCAATTCCGCGGAAAACTGCCGGTTTTTATCTTCGGCCGGTCCTCCGGCTTTGCAATTGACAGGATCGAGAAGAACGGGGGCGTCAGCCGGCCGTTCGTTCTTCCGCCGTCACGCCGTTTTCTTTAATTGGCAATAACGAAACTGCAAAAAAAAGTCGAGCGCCGCAATATAGATGGCAAAAAACAAACGCCGCAAAAGCGAGGAGAAGATTATAAAAATTCTGAAAGACAGATCCATATTTTCCTCGCTTCAGTTTTTTTGCCGTGTCCGGCGCTTGTTTCGGCAGGAAATTGCATGTCGAGAGCAATTGTCGTTCTGGCAAATGTCACAAAAAGAGCTGAACTGCACCGGGCTAGTAATAATATCTTAATGCAGGGATCATTTTGCGGGAGAGCCACGTTTTTAGTTGGAAAAGCGCATGCTATCCACTTAAGTCGCCGCGCACAAAAATTGCGAGTAAGCAAAATAAAGTAAAAGCAAATGTCCCTATTTTTTTCCCTTTTTAATGTGAATTTTCACATTTTGCGCAATTTTTTGGAAAATTATAAATTTAATTAATTTTTATTCGTTGTAATTAAAAAAATATCTTTATTCTCTTTACTACGCTAACGATAAGAATTATACGATAAGAACATTTATACGTACATTGAAAGCTGAATATTATTTATAAATTAGTTGTTTTGAAAAATACCTTCAATCGAAGCTATCAATATTTTATCTCACAATTGTAAGCGGTGCAATTGAATAAACTGTTTCTGAACTGGCATTAATGAATGCATATAGAATGTTTCATGTTTTGTGATCGATTCTAAAGGAAAATATTTTGCATTGAAACAACAGTCTTTTATATTTTTCAAATAATGCAATTCCTACGCTGCGACGGAAGCAACAAAATTCGAGAAACTTGCAAACATTGCGATTCTCATTCCACATTCACGGGAATTCTTCATGCTTACACGCATGACAAATTTTGCTATCGGTCCTTGGAAAATGTACGTTTCAAAATTTTAACATGTGACTCCCAGCCATGGCATCGTTTCCACTTTTGCGTCACCGTCATAAACGAGAGTCTCTTGAATGTTCAACATTTCTTGCAAAAAATTTATTGACGTCAGACTTGAATAGCTCAGAATCTTGACTTTTGGAAAAGAAATCTAAACGAAGCGATTATATTGGGAAGTTGAATATGTCGAATTTCGCGATTATCATTGTGCGATCAGAAATAGGATTCACGAAGATCCGAAATAAGTGTGTTAATGATTCTATAATTCCAGAATTTGCGATTAGCACGAAGACCGGAGTAAATTTCAAATAGGGTCGCCGTGAAGAAAATTTCCAGATAACGATAATGGCGAACGCGGCGTTTTGAGGGCGCGTTTGATTCTCAATGAGGTCACGTTCTGCGATGAGCGACAAAAGGCGGGGGCCGCAAACAACGGGAGATGGAACGTACGTGTGCCTCGAATGCATTCTGCGGGAAAGAAAGATCGGAAAGCGTCCCCGGCGCTCTCAGCCCTCTGTCCGCTCGCTGCCAATTAACAATGGTAAGTGCCGAGAGACGGAGACCTTTCGACTTTACTAATTTGCTCTGGATTTAACTGCACAGCACACTTCAGTCGCAAAGGCATTCTCCGACAAGCCGCCCAACGCCCGTGAAAACCGGGCTCTCTCCGTGTCTCTACGTATTCGCAAATTGGTTCGCGCAACTGGACGAGAAATTCGTGCCCGCGGTAGATCGAAGTGAGAGCTAAAATGTTAACCAGATGGAAATCCAGGACGATTGGTTCAACGTATCGGCGTGCTTAAAATAGGCGAGCCAGCGGTAAGTCTAAAAATACTTTATCTCGCATCAGTATCGGCTAATACTCGTCATTAAGCTGATATAGCTGTGAAGTATTAAATAATTATATCTTTTAGTTATTAAAATATATGTTATAAATTCATGAAAGTCATTAGAGCGGATAACGAATTTATCTGAACATCCAATTAAGAGAAGTCCGATATTTTTTGTATTTATCTTTCTAAATTTTTTTACTATTTTCAGGCAATTGAAACAAAATATTTTAAATTAAAGATTGATATATCGCAATGTAAAACATTCAAAAATTCGATAACTATTCTGAACATCCAATATTTTACATATTTGTCTTTCGTCAAATTTATTTTCACTACAATGATAATGCGCTGAACAATTAACGAACATTTTTGGGTTTTTTATATTGCGAGAGAAATATTGATTTCCAGTTTGAAATACCTTATTTTAATTACCTGCCAATTATTAAGAGAATTTTGGAAGGAAAAGCGCAAAAAATATCGAAAACTCAGATAAATTTTATTAAAGTAAAGCTTACATCATTATCTCTGCGCTTCAATATTAACTTTTTAATATCTATATATTAATATGGATAGTAAATATTAAAAGAGCCTTTATCTAATTATTTTTTAATTTTCTTACGACTTGATTTTATTCCTCAAAAAGACGCGTGTCACGATATCAAAGTACGATTCTTACATTAACGTCATCTAATCCGATAAAGCAATCGTCAAATAATAAGAGCTATCGCAGAAACTGTCACGTTTCGGATATCGACGTTTGGCTAAGCCATCATCCTATTCTCTTGCGGTCAACTGTCCGGCATCCTCCACCGACAGGCATCATAGCGTTGATGTAACTCGGTGACGAAATTCGACGCTCGTCGCTTAAAGCGTCAAGCTGCAACGTGACTGTGGCAGCACGCGAGACGTGGGGTTCAGAATTTACGTGAGCTGAATTCGAAAACGAATTCAATATCTCTTGTTTGACTTAAATCGAATAAACTTGGGGGATCGCGAAATGCGCCAAAATGCAAACTGAAACTGAGAGATTTAAGATTTTGTACACAGCTTGAAGAAAATCTATACGATATTGAAGAAGATATTCACATATTTTCACGGCCCCGTAAAACGTGTACTTGCACCTCCGCGACGACGCTTTCGCGTAGTAGCTGCACATAGTTTTTTTTTATAATTCCATTTTCGCGCACTTCTAAATTTGCATTATTTAAATTATTCAAACCTTTAAAAAAATTTTTTTGAGGCTTTTCTCATTTTTAAAGTACTTTCCATTAAATTTTTAAGTAAAAATAAAACATTTTTACACGCAAATTTAGGATGAATTTGTTTATCGCACGATCTTTTCAATATTTTTTTCTCGTACTCGTGGAAAAAAAATGATAGTCGTTCAAGTCTTGAATATTAAATTCAAGAGTCACAATCTAATCACGGGTCACAAAATAAAAGCAAAATTCTCGAAGAGACATTTTCAAAAAGGGATTCCCCAAATGCCAATCAAATTCTCTGAAAAATTCATCTGAGATTTTCTCCAGGTAGAAAAAAAATGTCCAGGAAATTCGAGATAGTATTCCAGGTTTGATTTGCATCTGCAACGTGTTATCAACTTTATTTTAGCGAGAAAAAGGAATCCAATTAGCAGTAAAAATATTCTATTTCTTGCATTGCATAATGCAGTTATTTTTTAATACATACATCATCGTTTCACCGCGAACGAAGCTCTCTCAATATGAAACTGCGCGGAACTAAGCTCCGCCGATCCCTCAACTTTCGCGGTTTTTAGCCGCGGCGTGAACTGTAATGCTCACGGAATCCGCAGAATTAATCGCGGTCGGCCGGTTTGCGGAACAGAGAGTCGGTAGAGAAGTTGAAATCCGCTCGCGAATACCTCGCCCGGCGTTTATTATCGTATCAATGAACGCGAGTGCGCGACGAACGGAAGCACGGCGCGGTGTGTGTATGTGTGTGTGTGTGTGTGAGTGACGCAACGGGTGTATACGATTTGCGAAATTATTATGCGGATCAGGACGTGGAGAGGTGTGCGCGATATCCCTAACTTGCTAGTCCCGCCGGGAGTCACGTCGACGCTGCTTTGAGCAACGAGCATGTAATTTCATCTCCACCCCCGCGGAGACATTTGTCAGCACGCGTCCGACATTACGACTTCTCGAACCACTGATTTCGTCTTCGCGCAACTTACTCTTCGCGTCCACATCGAAAAGGGCCGACAGCCCGATACAATTGAATAAAGGTGGAAAGAAACCGACATTTCAAACATTTAACGTTTTAATGTCGGTTTTATAGAAACCAAGCTGTGAGAAATCACGATTTTTTTTCAAAAGGCAATGCTGCTTTTTTGTTTCCGTTCTCTGTTCGGAGCTTTTGTTTGCCGTGTAAAGCTCTACTGTTTTATTCGCGGTTTTCCTTCTTTCAAGTTGTGTGACAGAGATTTATTAACGCATTTTCAAACGAAAAAAAAAAGTTTAAATAACAGCGCGATACAATGCCTCAAGAAACGGCCACGTTGAAACGGCGGAAAGAATAGAAGCATTGTAAAGATAAACGATTAATTGTACGCACAAAAATTTCGCACGCGGCCGACCCGTAAAATAAAACAAAAGAGCGCGATTCTCAGTCAGGTTCGTGGAAAACGAGTTCGAAACTTGTTTGTATTTTTCGTGCGCGATTCAACATTTCACTCCGCAAGTTTTACGAATACTGATTAGTCATTTCGAGCTTGACACGTTGTTCTTTACTCACAGCGATTCAATACAGCCCTTGTAATTTTCAACTGCTGCGCGAAGCAACTCTCCCGGGAGTCAAATGGCTTATTGCAAAGTTGCGGCGCTTCGCCCGCCGACGGGGTGTGCAGAATATTTCCCAATTGACAAACTTTACATACGTCGGAGTGTATGCACCGTGTGTACACATGTTTCGATTTCCCAACAGTTCAAAACGCGTATCGGACGGAGTCGTCGTTTATTTGCTTTAGCAAAATATCCGATTCCGGATTCTCATTAAAGCGCAAGCGGCCGCCATTAGTAGCGGCGGCGTGCGCCTATGAAATTAAATTATTCCGAGTTTTTCCCGGCTTTCTCTCACGCTGCACTTTCCTCGCTCTTCTTTCGCGCAAGTTCTTCTCCGCGCGTACACTTCGGCCGATGTCGCGTTTTTAGCGCGGCGCGGAAACACGAGGAAAGTCGTCGACGGATTTTCATCTCTCAAGCTCTGCCCGCTCGAGTATTTACAAGATCTAACAAATGGGAATAAAAAAGTAGTCTCGTGTAATTCAAAGGCAACGAACCGCTGTATAAAAATTGATCGAGAGAGTCGATTATTTCTGCAAGCTTACTTCGCAATAACGAATTAAAGAATCTTGAGAAATATTTTGCATGCCTTTCTTGCAATTTCGAGACTGAAGAGAAGCTTCTCGGAATGAATTGATCGAAATAAAAGGCGGATAACGTCAGTAGCGAAATACATCGGTGTCAAAAATTCCGCTCTAAAAACAAAGTGTTATATTAATGTTGTAATACCGCCGAACCGTCGCAGGCTAGAAGTGCACACAGTTTCTCATTTTTCGCTATATAAATCCGCGCCAAGTTTGATTAAAACGTCAAAGTAAGCCGCAATTTCGCGCGATTTATCCGACGAACCGGTTCCGCGTAATGCCGCCCATCAAAACTTCGCGAACAGGGTCATACGGGAAAAATCAAGCAGCACGATGTTATTTACAAGGGCAAATGCGGCGGCGCCGGGCAAAAACGATGACCGGCGAAGATTTGCGGCGCTCGAGAGCGACCGCTGACAAATGTAGTCATTTCAACGGCAGAGATGGGTGGTTAACGCGTACAGCTCCAGCTAACGGACGTCCGTATCGCTGCGGAGGCTTTGGATAATTCTCCCATTCTCATGTTAGGACGTCCCTTTGCAGCGAGGACGCGCGCAGAGCTGTCACGGCTGTTTCGTCTCCGACGATTTAAATAACGACAGTTTCTCGCAAACTCTCGGAAACCTTTGTGACCGATGAAGCTTATTGTTCTCGTCGTATCTCCCGCTCGATTTTAGATTGATTTATCCTCAATTAAAGTTTGCCGAAAGTTTCCGACGGACTGAATATACGATTAACAACTCATTATTGAATTAGAAATATTATTTCGCAAAATACACGAACAGAGTGCAGAATAATTCGGCTAGATTGTTTCAAAGGGCTCATTATGCGAAAATGAAGCGCGTCGCTTCATTACGCTGACGAGAGCGGGAAATTCGTTACATCGTGTATTGATTACGCATATTAAAGTATATATTCGAGCGTGAATCTAGAATTATCGCCGACATTGTGAACGTCGAATTGCGTATAAATAATAATGTTTCTTTTATTCCTTTCCCGAATTGAGCTTTCGCATATGCATACTGATATTTGAGCGCTGTAATATTTAAAACGCTTTCCACCACGAATTCACGCGCGCGCGATAACGCGTCCAAACGTGGCGAGAGCGCGTTATTAAAACGCGTTACAGCGGACGCTGCATTTTCTGGACGCTGCGTAAACAACGACAAATCGGTATCGACGGGCGTTAATGTTTCGCGGCGCGAATTCTCTCAACGCGAAGCCCCGTAAAACAGCGTTATCGGACGAGATTATAAACGCCGCTGATTTTCGCGGGATCGAAGCCGCTTCGAGAGCAATGACCGTAAGAGGATTAACATTGTATCTCAGCCATTATTTAGACGGAAATGCGCGGCGAAATCCGCACGAAGTCGGCGTCGAAAAGCTCCCCGCGGAAGCTCCCGTGAAAGCTCCGATTGGCGCCGTCCGGCCGTTTGTCGGACGTGAAAGATCGACCCGCGTACTGACGTCGGCAAAGTCGCGCGGCTTTTTCTCGAGATCAACGACACGAAAAAGAGAGAGAGAGAGAGAGAAAAAAAAGTGGAACACTTTGACGCCCGTGCGCACACATTCGCTGTTCTTTCACGGCGGAATTTACGGAA